GCACGAAGCGGGAGGGCTGCACCATCCTCTTCATGATGCTCTACTTCTTTGGCATGGCCAGCTCCATCTGGTGGGTCATCCTCTCCCTAACCTGGTTCCTGGCTGCCGGCATGAAGTGGGGCCATGAGGCCATCGAGGCCAACTCCCAGTACTTCCACCTGGCCGCCTGGGCCGTGCCAGCCATCAAGACCATCACCATCCTGGCCCTGGGGCAGGTGGATGGGGATGTCCTCAGCGGTGTCTGCTTTGTGGGCATCAACAATGTGGATGCCCTGCGGGGCTTTGTGCTGGCCCCCCTGTTTGTCTACCTGTTCATCGGCACCTCCTTCCTGCTGGCTGGCTTCGTGTCCCTCTTCAGAATCCGGACCATCATGAAGCACGATGGCACCAAGACAGAAAAACTGGAGAAGCTCATGGTGAGGATAGGCATCTTCAGCGTCCTCTACACAGTGCCGGCCACTATTGTCATCGCCTGCTATTTTTACGAGCAAGCTTTTAGGGAACAGTGGGAGAGGAGCTGGGTCACACAGAGCTGTAAGAGCTACGCCATCCCCTGCCCCCACAACCACAGCAGCCACCACCCGCCCATGAGCCCCGACTTCACCGTCTTCATGATCAAGTATCTCATGACCTTAATTGTGGGCATCACCTCAGGCTTCTGGATCTGGTCTGGGAAAACCCTGAACTCCTGGAGGAAGTTTTATACTAGGCTCACCAACAGCAAGCAGGGCGAGACCACCGTCTGAGACCCCTGCCTGCTGGACCAGGGGGCAGCAGGGGGCCAGAGGAGCAGGGCTCAGCCCTAGGAAGCAACTCCTTAACTAGTCTGGGCAAACTCTGGGTACTGCAAGTGGCTCCCGTGGGCGGCAGGGAGCAGAGGATGAGTCGAGGGGGGACCCTGCGCCTGGGACTGCCTGGCTCTGCCCTCCCCACTCCTCTTAGGCCGGCTCTTGTAGGAACTAAAGGCACTGTCAGGTTGGGGAGAGGTTTGTAAATAGCTTCTGTAAGATTTTGTAAGTATATTTGTATTTAAATTGCAAAAATCTCACTTTTTTAATTATTTAGGACACACTTAACTTGTTTGCAGATTTTGCTTCTTCGCCCCCCCCTTTTTCTTTAAAAAAAAAAGGGTGTCGGAGTTTTATTTGGTAGGGCAGGGTGGGAAAAGCTGTCGATAAGAGCAACCAAAACACCCCCCACTTTCCTCTCCCCCGCGCAGGTTTGTAATAGATTTGCCTGGAGTTTCAGCTGCTTGAGCCGCCGGGCC